GTCTGCGAGATAGGGACTTGAACGTCGTAAACTGGTACGCAGCATAGACCTCGAAGTCCCTATCTAATGGACGTGTCTGCGCGATAGGGACTAGAACATCCAGGAACGTGGCTGGTCCGGAGCAGAGATAAGCAGGTCAGGCCCCGGAACGGGTACGTAAGATAACCCTAGAAGTCACTATCCAACGGACATGTCTGCGAGATAGGGACTGAGCGGTACGTAACATAACCCTAGAAGTCACTCTCTAACGGACACGTCTGCGAGATAAGGACTTGAACGTCCGGGTACGTGGCTGGTCAAGAGCAGAGATAAGCAGGTCCGGTTCAGGAACGGTAACATTATCTCCCGAGCATAGCTCCCATATGGTCGAACACAACTCCAGAAGTCCCTATCTCAAGTACGCTTCCTCGAGATAGGTACTTGAACGTCGTAAACATGGTCTAACGAAGGCTCCCAAGGGACTGGAATAGCGTGCAGATATTGTCTAGCCGAGCGCTCGAAGGCACTATCGAAAGGACGTGTCTGCGAGATAGGGACTTGAACGTCGTAAACTCGTACGCCACAAAGCCCTCGAAGTCCCTATCTAATGGACGTGTCTGCGCGATAGGGACTAGAACGTCCGGGAACGTGGCTGGTCAGGAGCAGAGATAAGCAGGTCAGGCCCCTAAATGGCTGCGGTCTTTGAGCCCAAGCTTGTTTGAAAAGGAAAGGAAATTGCCAGGGTCAACCGTCCCATCGTGATACCTCCGGCAGTGGTGGCGGCCCTTCAGCAGCCACGATTACTTGAAAAGGCCCTTGAACCATCGAATACCACATCATCCCTTCCCCTGATGACTCTGCTTCTCTCTGCTCCAGTTGGACCTTATATTTGCGACGTTCCAGGCGATATGGAAGCTATGTTCAGCCACGTTGAGGGAGAGCCGTTCTGGGGCCGACAATATGGACGCTATGTCGGAAACTTCCTTTCATACTCACTCCCTTGGCTCCAAGAGCACAAGCAGCTCGGGCTTCCTTCCGGGACTCGGTGGATGTATTGTCCCCTTCCCTCCGGTGCGGGCGGTTACCGTCGCGAAGCGACGTGAATATATAGTAAAAGAACTGCTTGCTTCAAAGTGCTCCAAGCCTTTCTCAATGTCACAGTGAAGGAATGTAATGAGGTTCCACCGGTCAACATGCATGTCGCATCAGTTGTTGTTTCACACTGTTTGCAACCATTCGCAACCTTGTACATTGTGCAATCCAAGCAGCCGTTCCGCAGTCACAGAGAATGTGCAAATCTTTTCCTTGCCAATCCAAGTGGGTGGGCATTGGACCTTTTTGATACCATCCCAATTTCTCCACTCTGTCAGCGGGTTCAAACAATGTTCATTCCAGAGGACATCAAAAGCAGTATCCAATTGCAGGGCCATGAAAAGTATCACAATGCACCAACAACGTCCCCGAGCGTTTCTATTGTATTTCCCACAGACACTCCTCATTTTCACAACACGTGATGTTTGCAAACTTTAAAAGTCTGCCAAATAGCAGAAATGAAATACCTGTGGAATTCCCTCAGACCCGATCCCAGCGCCTTTGTACTGGGAGATGAGCTCAGTCGCATCGTACTGCTTCCAGCTCTGAGCATGGACATAGAACAATGACGGCGCAACTGGTCTTGAATCAAACGCTTTAATCTCTGACCACGATATTCAAAACCATTTGCATCACAACCTGAAACGGACCAGCACTGGGGTTTGTGGTATTATTGGTTTAACAAATAGTGCAAAGAAACGCAAGATGTCAGATGTCAGCGCAGGATCCAAGACAAAAATGTACAATTCAAGTAACTGTGAACAAAGGTGAAAGAATAATGCAAGAACCACCACCCATCTATAGTTGGGCTGATGGCCATGACCCGCACCAAATCAAACCTATAAATCGTAACAAGTGTCCAGTTTAGAAAGGTTTGTCTTAAGACTTGCGCCGACAGGCAACTGCTGGAAATTTAGATGTATCTTTTTTGTGAGGTCCTGAGTAAGGAACTCAGCAAGAAAATTGTGAACATAGGTTGGGATGTGCATGCAACATGTGGAGAAAAACCAATCAGAAAGTGATTGTGGAGACATAGGAAAGCAAAGCATATACAGGAAAATCGTGAGCAAGTAGAAAGGAATTAGTGAGCAAATAGTGAGCAATGAGCAAATAGCAAAATATTGTGAAACGCCTCCCGAAACGACATGTGACATATCCTGGTGGGAAGTTTAAAGTCAAAATATTGGGTTGCGATTCTGGATTGTTTTTGATCACATTTTGGTCACTCTGTTTTTGCTTTCCTCTTGCTTTTGGCTATCCAAATAGTTCAATCACATCACCTTTGAATCGCTTTCTGCTCACCTTTCACTCACTTTTTTTTGCCTTGTCCCCTATCCTGCACTCTGAGAGTGCTTTTCGATTGCTTCAACTCCTACTCCGAAATCAAAAAAAATTACTTATTTGGCCGCCCTCAGCGGTTGGGACTTCATCTCTTGAGGTTTGTCGTTCCCAGAATGACTCACCAAGGTGGCTCCAACCTGCGGGGGGGAGTATTCTTTGAGCCCTGACAATGCCTTTCTTCCCCCCAAGACTTCTGCAAAGCTGCTGTGATCCAAATTTAGGTTGCTTTCAATCTCTTTGATACAAGTGTTCACCGAGAGAGGCATCTCGACAAGGAACCGAAAAGGATAACCCTGAAACCCTGCCTGCTCATCACTGCCCAGGTAGAAAGAGAATGCCTTCTGTCCCCAGGGGACCTTCATGGGGTTGCAGATGGGTGCAAAGGCAGAGACAGAGCTATACCTGCGTAGAAATGGTGCGCGCCGACAGGGTTCCATGGCCAGGATTTGTTTGATAAAGTGAATGCAAGACAAACGCTTTCGGATTGTCCTGTACTTTGTATCAGAAAGACTCCGGATGTTTAATGTTCTGTCAGCCAAGTGGCCTCTCAGGATTCTTGAGTCCTATAGTCAAAGCGCCATGCCCACCCATCGAATGGCCAGAGATTGCTCGCTTATCTGTCACTGGCAAGTTTGCCTGCCAATGGGTCCAAGAAGGGACTGAACACCTGGTGCTAGTGAGGGTGAAAAATGAACTGTGAATAGTTCTCGCCATGAAAGTACCTTGATCAGCCAGGCCGACACCAGAAACCTGGTGAACTTGCTCGACCGACAAACACCTGGTTGATGGACAAAGAAACATCTTGCAATTTGGATGGCAGAAGGATGTCATTTTTCTAGGTGGACTAGAAACTGTGCCTCGACCAAGGCTGGGAGCTCTTTCACAACAAAATCATACCTCGGCTTGGTTCGGACAAGCAACCATGGGGGGGTAGGCCGAGGTAGCTACTAGCTACTTAAGCTACTAGCATGGACGCAGGATAGCAAGGAAGCTTCCCGCCTGAGGGCGGAGGGGAGCTTCCTTGAAGAAGCGCTCGCACTAATGATTTGGTTCCTAGAGTTTTGTTTGCAGAGTCGCATTTTTGGGAGGGTATTTCGAGTGGATTGCAAGTTGCGACAAACGTATTTGTCATTGAACATTGACAGCATGACATCTTACCTGAAGAGCTTTTTTGCCTGCCGCACAAGCAAGCGCAGCTATCCTTTGTTGTCCTGTGTCCAAGGGGCCGTCGATGCCACCCAAGCAAACTATGTTGACGCGCTGTGTCTGATACAAAATAGGCCAACTTGTCTGCACTCGAAGCTGCATATTGTAATGCGTCTTGTACTTGTCAGTGGTGGCATTTAAGTAAAACCCAGCTCCAACGCCGAAGTCATAGGTATGCGGGTCCTCCACAGGCAAGCTAGCCCTCTTGCTTGGCAGCTGTACAGTAATGGCTTAGTTGGCTTCACGGTTCAAGCTGCAAATAAATCAGAATACAGTAAATCAAATTGCATTGAAATAACAGCACCTGCCGACCCTGTCCTCGTCTGGAACACCATCACCTCGCGGAGAGGTGTCGGGCATCACCAGCACGACCTGCACCAGGGTGGAAAAAAGTGCTTCGGCATCGGGTACACAATCATGTACACAGAAGGTTCACGAGCTGCCAAGGTTGCGAAACAAAGAATGGTGGGCATCTGCCAGCCTGGACCTAACTGGAAACAAATGAATCGGGGCTGCAAAGCTGTTGAACAAGCTCTCAAGCAGGTGTGTTCGACTTTCAGGGAATATCGCAAGCACTGCATAGGCGTCTTCGTTGGCTCTGACTCATGCAAGCTTGGAGAGGCCCCCTGCTGAAAATGCAATTGCGTACCTGAACACACACGCCCCGATTTGTACTTGTCATCTGTTCTATCACTATGAAATACACTAAGGATATACACCCAAAAAGACCAGGTAGACTGAGCACAGTAGATGCATGTTCATTTATGAATGTCGTGCAAGGCATAGTGGATTGGAATCATGTGTCATATCTGAGTGAGACCACGTTGCACAGCATACTAGCCACAGTATTATGTCTCCAATTGTACAAATGTGTCACATAATATGCGAAAATGTGGTATGTATGAACTCTAAGGACTGCCAGTACCTTTCTGTATACATCGAGACCATAGAGGTCACAACCCTCAGAGTCGTGCACGCGCTGTGGTTTGCGCAGACGTGCCTGGTTGTCACAGGCCGCCTGGAAGGCGCCCGCCTTTTGAGAGAAGTTCTCGTCAGTGCAGGTGAGCCCGGAGAGCCAATAAACCTGAAGAGGATCACGCTGAGCTTGACTCATGGGACAAGTCGTATGCTGCATATGCCATATGGAAAACTATATAGGGCTAGATGCAAAAATATCACAACAAAAGTGATATCCCCTTGCTCCTGCCAATAGTGCTTCGCATCCCCCTCAACATGGAATAAAAGCATGTTCGAAGAGGGATACCTACCAGCATATGTTCAATAACCACTGGCCTTTTTGCAGGTCTCCTCACTTTTGCGGCCGTCGAGAGGCCACCGGCAGCTTCTTGAACTCGGTCACATCCGGCAGGTAGGCGGCAAAAATGGTTTGAGTGTTTCCCAGGCTCCTCCACAGGGTGGCCGCAGGAAGCACAGCGAGGTGTAAGATGGCGAGCAAGAACCCTAATAGCAGGCACGAAGCAATGTTCTGGGAAAGGTTCTCATACCGGAAACTGCCATTAGCCAACATCTTGTGCTAGAAGGAAATTGAATGTGAAGCTCAGCACGTTCGTCCCTATGTGCCAGTATCCGTGACTGCAAACTGCAAACCAGTCTACAAGTTTGCAAGGCCGCGGCAACACCGCTCTTAGCGCCGAATTAGCCGCTGGACTCTTAGGTCAACACCCGGAAATTGTAGATTGCACTGTTCAAGCCAGCGCTTTTAGTCCCATAGACCCGGTAACCCTCACAAGATTTGCGATCCTGGACGTAACCTCGCAGCGCTTGAGCATTCCTGGAGATGGCCGGAGTACGGCACCAAATTGCTCTTCAGGCAAACCGTAGAATTGCGGTAGAATTTATTGCGCAACCTGAATAAGACCCCAATGTAGCACCCGTCGAAGGTAGCGCGCAAAACAACAAGCCTCGGTAAAATCACACACCATGAAGTTGAGCAGAAAAGAAGCCACCTGATAAAACAAACCACTGCCACCATCCAAAAAAAACATCACTGCGATCAAAAAAATACATCACCCTACATCAATGTTCTTTCTACAAAACTTGCCATCCAATAGAGGATGTTGCTCCCTGATGTTGTAAAGACATGTCAAAAGTTGATACATCATTGAAAAATGTGTGAGCGTACATATATATATATATATGTCTACCTTCCGCTCCAATGAGCACAGCAGGAACCTTTTTCAGAGGCGCTTCAAGGTTGCTACGTGAGGCGCTGCAGGCCTCCACAACGGTACCTTGACCGGTCAGCAGGCGTGAAACTATTTGCAACCCACTCCTGCAACCTCGCAAACTCTCAAGAGAGCTTGGCTCTTCGTCTCAAGAGGCCTCACTGTCCATTTTCAGCAGGAAGGGCCTCACTTTCTCCGCTTGCTGCCTTCCTGGTGCAGCCGCAAACCCTCCAGCCTCCAAAGCGGATTCGGGTGCGCTGGAGAGCTGTGAGAAACGCACCTGTGCCAGTTGAGAGGCGCCCTCGACGATGTACTGCTTGGCTGTCTTGTGGCTCCACCTGCCCCGTGCCACTGTGGCATCTAGGCCCCAGGGATCATTGGAGATACCAAGTGGCCCCCTTCTCACTTGTCTTAGTTATCCGAAGCAAATCACAGCTGAGTCAAAAGGCGGCCAAAGCAGGCCCGAAAACAGATAAGGACCGCGAGGCCACAACGGCTCTTTCAACCAAGGTTCCAAGACAGTCATTGCAAAGGTGATCAAAAGTTCATCAAGAACCAGAACTTCCTTGGGGGTCGCCTTAAGTCTTGCTGCCCGGCCTCTTCGTCGGCTTTTAGGGCGCCGAGCGCAAAGAAAGCACAGAGCTCTCGTAGACTAGGTTTCTCGGTCCCTTGGCAGGAGCAAGTCCAACCTCGTAGCACCGAGAGTCTTGTCAGGCTCCGAATCCGCGGGACCAAAGTAACATGATGCCCAGAAAACGACGCCCCCCCCCAAAGGGAAGCGATGGAAACCATGGCTCGGAAAAGGACTAACGGCAGGGGGGAACGACCAACCGCCAAGCTCCCCCCATGAACGGTCAGAAATCAGGCTGCCATCTCTGAACGGCATCTAACAGATGCCTGCACAAGTACAATAAGCACCCTCAGCAAGCAGGTCTTGACCGAAAGTTTCTAACAGTTCAACTAAAGTAAAGTCTGGGGACACACAATCAGCTGCTCAAAAGTGGTCACTCGCAAAGACCTAAGGCACCATGCTCGAAACCTATCCCAAATCCGGGGGCCGATCAACTCGGTTCCGGGCTCAACAAGCGTGGTCCTGACGATCCACAAATCGAGGCGGTGTATATCCGCCTCCTATCAGGCCACAATCCGGCATCGATCAACAGGGCAAGGGCGATCCACTTGCAAAGAATCTTCGGGTGGGTCTGAGCAACACGTGTCCAACATGCCTTGTGGAGCTGAGACCAACCGACATGATCTCGTAAGCAAAACAAGCGTTGGCCTCGGAGATGACAATTTGTAAAGAAGCGAGTACGCTTCCTCCACAGACTGTTGCATCTGCAGTAGTCCAATCGAAAAAGGAAACAAGTTGGCACCCCAATTCAAGCCAAGCATTAAGCAACCAAAGAAATGATCCATCGGGATTCTCAACCCAGCAAACTAAACTATGTTCACAAGCCACAGGGATCAGCTGCGCGAGCCAATCTGCATGACCATTCCCCTCAGCAATTGTTTTCTGCATTCTGACAATCAAAACGGAGAGGCCCTGGGATGTGTACGCGAGCGTACAACAAACGGGGGTTTTGCTTGCAATGACTTGTTCCAGTCGGTTGGTTTGACGTTCTGGTCACCATTTTGTTTGAATGCTTGAGTTCAGCCAAGTGGGGTTGCTCATGGACTTGGGCAACGTTTGACGGCGGTTGTGTGAACCTCCGCCATGGTGCTTTGCTTGGCTGTGTCTTTCCTTTCTTTTGACTGTGCTTCACATGGCTGCCTCCTTATGGAGCAGCCTGCCGCGCCGATTGCAGCAAGACTTCGGCGCGGCAATGGAGCATGTCCCTCAGCGGGAGTCTTGGCGTATCTTTTTGATGACTCGGAAGATTTACAGCGTTTGTTGGATACTTCCTTGGGCCCGGGCCACAGCGGTGCCAAATCAACTGCGGCTGCCGCCTTGCTGGATTTGCAGGCATGGGCCCTAGACAATGTGAAGACGGCGCAGAAGCGACGAGCGCTTGTCGATTCTGCGACCAAGTTCTCTCATATTTACAATAAAGCAAAGCAAGCAAAGACATTGCCAGCACTTGAATTCACGCAGGGTTGGCTTGCGAAATCTGGTGCTTCCAAACGCATTGGGCAATGGAAGTCTCGCCGCGTGCGAAAATTAGCCATTGTTCAAAGCGAATCTACCAGAGCCGACACTGAAGCCAAAGAGCTACTCAGATGGAGAAGCGAGCTGGCGGAACTGGTCGCCGAAGCTGATTTACCAATCACCGAAGCAATGTCTCAAGCGCGCGATCGGGAAGCCATTTTGCTGGGCGCCCTGGGCTCCGCGCGGGCTTCTACCATCTGCAAGCGGATCCGTGAACGGCGCAAAGCTCGTGCATTTTGCTTAGCAGTTACGGGTAGCCATGGCCGCAGAGTGTCAGCGTTCTGCTGGACTACTTGCACGAGCGGCGGCTGGAGCCCTGTGCCCGGACAGTTCCTGCTGCAATCTTAGCAAGCCTGGCGTTTATAGAGAAAGCAGGGGCGGTTCGAAAAGGAAAGAACTTCTCCGACATGGAAGTATTGATCAACACTGTCCATCAACTTACCCGCGACTTGGAGACCCGGGCGCCCGCACGGCGGAAAGCTCCCACGCTGCCGGCAATCATTATTGGGGCGACAGAACTGGCTGTGAGCGATCCCACATTGCCCCTATACTTGCGTGGGTTTGCTTTTTACAAACTATTGAAATTGTGGACTTCAAGCCGCTCGTGGGCTCGATCCTACTTCCCTGAAGCTCTCGGAGCATGGCTTAAGCGGCGTTCTGGACCGCACAAAGACAAGCGGACCTGGGAAGAAGATCGTTTCCTGCCAATTTTTGTAAGCAATCGTATGTTCTTGATGAACCCCGCCTGGCTGGCTGATGGCTGGGCCCTTTGGGCGGATCATGCTATGAACTTTGCCCAAGATTTAAAGGCTTACGCCTAACAGCCGGGCGCCGGCCCACTTGGGTCTGTGGGGCATATGTCACACCTATGTTGGCCTTGGTGGGGCCTATATTGAGCAAAGTTAAGCTATCTGGCGCGCATCTTGGCCCTAGGTTGGGCCAAGTGGGGCCCATGTGGTCTATGTTGGGCACATCTTGGCCCAATGTGGAGCCTATGTTGGGCCGATGTTAGGCCTATGGTGGCCCATGTTGGCCTAGGTTGGGCCTACGTTGGCCCCATGTTGGCCGATGTTGGCCCGAAGTTGAGCCATCTTGGAGGCTATGTGAGGCATAGGTTGGGGATATGTTGGCTACCTTAGGCCTATGTTGGGGATATGTTAGGCAATTTATGTTAAAAAAACTCTTCCGAGAGCACTTTTTCCGAATTTTTCCTTCCTGTAATGCAAAAACCCTGGAAAAAAAAAACCTACGTTTTTTTACATCGCCTAGATGAAATTCTCGCCCGCCGAAGGGGCCAAAACCCTGTAAAACACTGTGTTTTTTTACCTCGCACACACACACACGATACACTGTAAATTACAGGGGCTTCAGTGAACAGGAAGTGGGAAGGGGGTCCCCCGTTTTTCGTGGCGAGGGTCGGCGGCAGGGGGGCCGAGCGTCTATAACCTGCGGTTACCACCGAAGGCCTCCGGCGAGGACACGGGCGCGTGGCCGGCGCCCGGATTACTTTCTTCCCTTGCCGCTGGACGATGACTCTGGGGTGCGCTGCGTGACGGCGGAATAGCCCCAGATTCTATCCCTTGCTTTCGGGCAACCAGGGCCCGAGAAGCTGATTTTGCTTCGTGACACCTTGGCGTTTTGGACAGAACACTCTGAGTGCAATTGGCTGGCGTCGATCCTTGCTTTGCTTGGGGTTCAGTGAGAAAAAGCGTGACTTTGTGGGCCGCTGGCGAGTAGTGACTGCCTCCGACGAATATGTCCGCACTGCCCAATACCTCATAACCACACTGCAAGAAGAGGCTCTGCGTGGCCTGCTGAAAGATGAGCGGCGGGGTTTGAGGAACGGTGGCTTGGATAGCTTACAACAGTTTTTGGTATCACGGCGGGTTCCACCGCAAACCCAAGTGGAACATCTCAAAATGGCCGTGCGCTGGCACCCTGCGACAGATTCTCATGATATCGTCGATTTGCCCGACCTGCCCTTGCCTGACGCATCGCATGAATAGCCCTCCGAGCAAGCAGATTTCTTCATTTCCATTGTGGGGAAGAACCGGGTTCGACGTTTGCACCGCCGGGGCGGCTGTGGTGTCACCGCCCTTGCTGCGCAGACAATGGAACCTGTATTCGACTTACAGGATTGCGTTTACGACTTTGCCTGCAAACATTGCTGGGAAGCGAAGCAACCTGAGGAACCGACCCTAGTCACTGAGAGCGACTCGTCGTCAAATAGCAGTTCCTCTTCAAGCTCTTCTTCCACCCGCGCTCGCGCGTAGCAAGAGAACTCCAGGGGCGATTGAAGGAAATAGCGGCCAAGGCTGCTTGAGACACCGACCTTCCTCCCTGTTTTTCTTTTTGACTTCTTTTTCTTGGTTGCCTTGTGGCACAGCAGGGCGTTACTACTTTTTCTCTAAGCAGATTGCGGGCATGTTGCCGCGCGAGATGTCATACATGGCTTGGATG